TTTTTGTATTTATTTTTATTTAAAAATATATAAAATGTTAATTAAAATTATTAAAAACATATAAAAAATTAATTAATAATAATAAATTTATATTTTTATATAAAGTGATGTGCAAAAAGATGAATGGAAAATATGATCAAACTGAATCATAATATCTAAACTTCTTTTTACATTATCAAATAATAAAGAAATACATATTTAAAAAAAAAAATGTGTTTTTGTTCATCTCTTAGTTTTCTTAGTGGAAAGTTAAATACAGGTGAAAAGGTTTTAGCTCTAGGAATGGGTTTTGGAGCTCATTTGTGTACCTAGAAGCTCGAAGGCTAGAACAGTGGGTTTATTTGGACTTCCCTCAATTGTATAGCCCAACTTCTTCACCTTTTCCGTCCTTCCCTCACCTTTCTGCGGCGCCGCCTTCTGGTTTACGGCTCCAATCTGGTACGCTACTGAACCCAAAATCGCTGTTAATTTCTCAAACTCAGCTTAAAATTTTCAAATGTTTTATGTGTTACGGGAGCCGTTTTTGCTTTTTCTGCGGTACACTAGTTGTTGATTGTTGAAATGTGTTTTAATTAGTGGTTGTTGGATGACTACTTTAGTGCCCATAAGATGTTTGTTAAAATTCCTATGAGAACTTGCTATGCAATTTTTTGTTAACTTGAACATGGCGAAATCGAAATTTAACACTCAAGAGATTGGTTATGGTATTATGGATGATTTTTCATTCAGTCAGATAGGAAAGAAGCTGTCTTGGGTTTTCCAATGTTTTTGGACGTGGGTGTTCAAGTCAAGCTTACTGGTCGTCAGTCTCTTTTGCACAAAATATGATGAGTACTTGCTGTCTGAAAGAATTTATTTATTTTTCCTTTAATAGAAACTGCCATGCAAAAGAAATTGCTTGCTTATAATTCAAAAATATGGTTGATGTTTCAATATAAACATGAAAAATCCAGCTAAGATTTAGTGCCTTAAAGTAGGTTAAGGTGAAGATGGACTTATGAAAATGAATATTTATCAGTTGGTTGAATGGACAAAAGTCAGTCATTAAATGGATGAAAGGGGAAAGGGGAAATGAGTGAGAGTTTTTTGATAAATTTTTCCAATAATTGGTTACCTATATGGAAGCACTCTAATGTGTATTTCTAGAGAGACTAATTGAGATTGCATGTCTTAAGAATTAAATTATTGTATACTCTATCCTTGCACATTCTTTGAGCTACTCTTCTACTAATTTTGTGTGTTTCATTTACGTTCTGGGGAAAAGAGGTGGTGCAGAGGAATGTTACGTTTTTTCCCCCCTTTTTCTAATATTGTTATCTCACAATTCCTATTCTGGGTGTGTCTAGCTAATGTATGGTGTCATTGAATTGAACTGGTAGAATGCCCCTGGGTTAGCCAAGCTTTAAAAGATGTTAAAAATTAACATGGAGGAAGTGATCCTTGTTGTTGGTTTATTCTCTTCTTATGGAAATAGATCTTGGTTTGATCACTATCAAAATTTATTAGCCTTGTAACTCTTCTCTTTTTTTTTTTAATAATGAATATGCGATGTCTGATGATCAGAATTTCTCAGTTATTGGTATTTTGACATTGATGGTGGAATCGTTCTAGCTCCGTGTTGAACATCCACATTTGTCAAGCCTTGTTATGATCAATTTACTAGTTTTTTTCCATTTCATACAAGTTGTTTTTTTCCATTTCATACAAGTTATCATCTTGATTTTACACAAAGCACATCAGGTATTATTAGGTTCTTATTGAATTTCACTCTGTTTAATTGATTTGCATTGTGAATTGGACAATAGTCAATAGACTCAATACTTCTTTCGTGAGAATTTTGTGATGCAGTTTTTGCTTTTATTTGTTTATTTATTTATTTTTTTCTCCTTCCAACAAGATTAGAAATTTGTATGATGTCTTACAGATACTTTCTGTGAGGTTCAAAGAAAAAGTGAGAAGAGAAGAAAGAGGTGGATCTCAAAAACAAACAGAATATAGCAATCAATTTCATCTTTTGCTTCGTATTTCTTCACTACCCATCAATGCTTAAGAAGCTCAACAGAATCACTAGGCTCAATCTTGGGCATTCTATCTCCATCACCGCAGCATTTAAACAATACTCAACCCTTCCCTTAAACCCTTATGCAAACCCCACAGAGCCCTTAACAAAACCCCGGCTCAAGATCCTTGTTCTTTCCCAATACTCTCATGTAAACTTCTCCAATCTTGTCAAGAATGTCATTGCTTTGCCCTCTGTCCTCCTCACTGCCTGCCAAAGCCTCAGCAGCCCTCGCAACACAATGCCAGAGACAACTCAGTCGCTTCCTCATTTTCTGGATTCCGTCTCCAAATGCTTCTCCATAATTGAAATGAGTGGTGAAATTAGAGAAAATGAGTTTGATATTGAGTCTTGCTGTGTCAAAATGACGCAATGAAGGGATAGAGGTGAGCCTCTGGTCATGCCCAATTTGAAATTGAAGGTCTTGATTGAAGCTATGAGGATGGTATTGGAAATTGTCTATGATGAACAGTTTGTCACATTTTCTTACGGGGCTGTGTTGGGATGGGAAGGCATACTGCAATTAGGTACCTTAAAAACTCTACAAAATCCAAGTTGGTGGTTTAGTGTTTTGTTTAACCATGAGAACTTTCAGAAGTGTAACATAGATAAATTGTATGTGTTTATTGAGGAGAAAATTAAGGATATGATGTTGATTGGTATGCTCAAGAGGTTGTTTGAATGTGAAGTAGTGAGAATTGAACTGGGTGGGTGTTATTTACGAAGAGGGTTTCCTCAAGAATCTGGCTTGTGTTCAATTTTGATTAATATTTACTTTGATAGTTTGGATAAAGAGATCCAGGATATGCGCCTTAAAATGAATCAGAATGATCTCAAACTTGATTTGAATGAGCTTGTTTCCACCTCAAATGTCTTTTATAAGTCAGAAAAGATATATGCTGTAAGGTGCTTGGATGAGTTATTGGTAATAACATCAGGGTCTAAGATTTCAATATTGGACTTGAAGAACCAGATCTTGAAATTTTTGGAGGTGAATTTAGATTTGAAGGTTGATAGAGTAAAAACAGCTGTCCATGGTGCTGTTTCAGAGAAAATTAACTTCTTAGGGATGGAACTGCAAGCTGTTTCACCTTCAGTTTTGCATCCCCCTATGTCAGAGAAAGCAATTAGAGCAAAGAAGAAGTATCTCAGACAAAAGGAAGTTGGAGCTTTGGAATTGAGAAATGCCTGGGAGGGGAATCGGAGGAAATTGGGTTTGAAAATATTGAAACATGTTTTTAAGAAGTTGAAGCAAAGTAATGGGTTTAAATTTGAATTTCAAATTGAAAATGAAGTTAGAGAAATCTTTAGGACATGGGCAGATGACCTGGGATCCTTGGAAGAATATTGGAACTGGCAGAGGCTTCTTTCTAGAGGTGATCTCTTTAAGGCACATCAGGGATCAATTGCCCCAAGATCTTGTTGATGCTTATGACAAATTCCAAGAGCAAGTGGACAAGCATCTGGCTCCCGTCAAAGCTAGAAAAGCCTTGGAGGAAGCAGAAAAGAAAGTAGAAGAAGAAGAAGAGAAGTATGCTCAGAGTGCGGTGGAGGATCTGACAAAGCTGTGTATGAAGGTATCTGCTCCTATTGATCTTTTTCAGAGGGCTGAGAAAATGGTTGGCTTTACAAATAATATGGGTTGTCCCAGGCCAATCAGCATACCTGTTTTGGAAGATGCTTACATTATCAAGTGATATGCAGGCATTGGGAGAAGATGGCTTGATTTCTTTTGTTGCTGTCACAATTTTAAAATGGTTAAAACAATTGTTACCTATCACCTGAGGTTCTCTTGTGTTTTGACATTAGCAAAAAAGCATGAATCCACCAAACGAGAAACAATGAAACATTACACTAATTTGAAAGTATCTGATTTGGATGGAAATGAAGAATTGTACTTTTCCATGGAGAGGGATGTTGAGATGATGGGTGATAATAATCTTTCAGACCCAAAACCTGTGGATGGGGCTCTTTTGTTGGCTTTGACTAGATTGGCTTCTGGTGAGCACTTACATTCTTGCATTGCACATTTCTGTGACAGACAAGATATAATACTCTACAGTTTAAGATTACTGCAAAGCAGTTTAAATGTTAATTCATTGGATGAAGCACAGTGGATCCAGGGTATGGGTGCAATTCATGAAAGCCTTAATCAGAAATGTCTTCCACTCTGCGCCAATCACATAAATGATTTATGTATGGGGAAAATCATCCTTCAGGATATTTGTGAACGTGGATTGAGTTGTCTCTCCTTTGTATTTTGAATGTGATCGATTTTGAATGGTAATTCCTAATGATCTCAAGCAGAATTTCTGGAGCCATTGATCACTTCTTTTATTGAAAGTCAAGGCAGGTAAGTCAGCATCCACATTTTTCCATTTTGGTCGATTTTTCCTTTGTTCGATTGGCCATTTTGGTTGATTTTTCTAAAGGGCTTAGGTGTAGTGAAGTATATTATCCAATAAAGTGTAGGCATAAGTCAGAAATTTTGACAGATAACAAGTCAAATATTATCAACATGTTTGTGGTTACTACTTGTCTTTAAGATTTTTTATTTTTTATTTTGGTATTATCCATTAAAAAAAAAAATTGTTTGGATTCTAGAGCTTGGAAATGGTTGGCGGAAGCCTATACAAAAATTATTTTGTGTTTTATTGTAGGTGACTAGTAGGTATTTTGTGGTTAAACATTAAAGACTCACATGTGCAAATATCCCATTAAGAGAACTGAATCTTATGAATCTACCAAGATTGAAGCATGTATGGACAAAGGATCCTGAAGGAATTCTCACTTTTTCGAAGTTGGAAGTCTGTGAGAGCGATAAATTGTTTGGAGTTCCAATATATGTTTCCACTTTCAGTGGCTATGGCCATTCAACAACTTTGAGAGTTATGGTTAAGCGATTGTGGGATTGAGGAAATTGTAGTAATTAGTGGATTAGACGAAGCAGTCCGTATATAAAATGTATAGGAAATTAATTCAAAAGCGTATTTGAATCTCCATCAACCTCTCAATCATGTCACTAATAGTAGAATTAAGTGTTACAACCAGTTCAAACTTATTTAGCTTCACCACCACTAAAGTTATGGTCAAATTAATTCAAAAGAGCATTTGAGTCTCCATTAACCTCTTAATTATGCCGCTAACAATAGAAGTATCACAGCCAATTTAAACTTATCTAGCTTTACCACCACACTATCACTTTCTTCAAATAAAAAGAATATTTGATAAAAAAAATATTGAGAGAGTCCATGCAAAGACACTAAAAGAAGGTGACAAAAAAAAAAAAAAATCGCCTCATAAAGTAGAGAGAAACTCCAAAAAAAACACAGAAACTCCAGTCAATGATTTGGGACAAAAGAGGAAAAAAAAAGTGGGGGAGGAAGGGTTGGCAGCTCAGGCTATGGGATTTTTATTTGCTTATTATAGCTGAAAAATCTTCTAATTTTTTTAATCCACTTGTAATTTACATCTTAATTATTATATGTTAGTCTCAATTCACTAGATTAAAATTTTCTCTAATTCAATCTAATTCTGTCCTATTGATTTTATCTATTTTAGTCTATCCCAACCTGTATTTCAAATGAGCCCTCATTTTCTTAATTCTTTCCTTTTTCATCTATTTTAAATTTAAATTTAACATTTTTAATTTAAAATTTAAAATATTTAATTAACTGAGACACTACTTTGTATGTGATTTAAATGTAAATTATTTAAGAGTTTTCACTTGTTCCGCTTTCCAGAGTTGTTCTCCGTTTTTGTGCCTTTTTTCGTTATCTCACATCCTTTGTTCTCTCAAATTAAAAGCTTGTTTGGTTACTTAGAACTCGGGAAAAGAAAGGAAAAACTGACATAGTCGATCAAAGAGCAGTTTGGCTTAACTTAAAATAATAAATTTTTTGATATAAAAATCAAATGTAATATAATTAATTATAAATGAATTATATAAGTAACTATATGCAAACTTTTATGAGAAACTCTTTTTTTAAAGATTTTTTTAAGGGGAAAGTGATTATAATTAATTATTTTTTAAAAATAAATAATTATATTTATATAATTTATTATATAAATTTTTATAATTAAATTTATAAATATATAATCACTTACATAATTTATTATAATTAATTAATTAAATTTTAATTTTTATATTAAAAAATTTATTTTTCTTCTTTCGAAATTTAAGATAAGCAAACTGGCCCCAAACGTCCTTTTATACTTTTACTCTCCAGAATTACGCTCGTTCAAAGAGAAAATGGAGCAGGTAAATTCAAAGGGAGACCTTTTATGCGCGTTTTGTGGGTGGAAACTGGGGAAGGGAAAAGCAAAATGGAGATCGTACTAGTTAGTAATTACTGGGAATTTTCTGACTCAGGGAAGGCACGGCGCTCTCAAAACGCATTTAAGCTTACGCGTTTATTACAGGAGAATTCCAATAAAAGCCCTTACGCCTTTTGTGTGAAGAGGGAAAAGAGAGAGCATGGTAGGAGGGTAGACTGGGTAGTACGCCAGTACTAGTTAGAACTATGTGTGATTCCAAACGAGCCCATGTTTGTGGTCGATTTAAGGGACTAAAAGTCATAGAAGAAATGTTCAGCTTTTTGCAGAACAGAAAGTTACCGAGCATCATTGGAGCGATCAGAGATAGATCTGTGCTCTGTTTCGTTTTTGACCCTAAACGAGCAAGAAAGATAAAAAATTCAGAGCGTTGACATGCTGTAGACTCTTCTAGTCGTTGGATCAACGGCCTTTTTCGATGGCAAAGGTTAGATTTCTAGCCGTCGGCTATTTGTTCCCCTTTTTCATCTCAATTTATTTTTTCTTGAATCATCTATAAATATAAGGTTTTGCAATTATATTTTCCAGATTTCTGGGTGCAAATGACCACAGACTTTTGGGTTTGAAAGCCCCAGATTCTCGTTCCAGAGAAATTTTTATTTCACATCTTTTTGTTTGTATATGAGATTTTGGAATGCTTTGTTTGGAACTGTTTGAAGAGGAAATTAATTTTAGGATGAAATTTGAGATAGCTTTTTTGGCATTTAGACCTGATTAAGGATTTCTGGTTTTAGTTTCTTGCAGTTCGAATTTCTCCCTCCATGGAAACGGAGAGCTTCCTCCTCCCACCACCCATGAGATTCTGATGCTTCCAACAGTTAGTGTCGATGCCTTTTAATTTTTTTTCTTTACCCCTTGTTTGGATTGAGGAAGTTAAAGGGGAAAGAGAGGAGAGTGAGGGAGAGAGAGCAAATTTTTTGTGTTTGGATAAATCATTTTAATGGGAGAGAGGGAGATAGAGGGAGAGGGAGCCCCCTCTTTCATTCTAATATGGAAGGATTGAAAAGGAGTACATTATTTAATTTATTTTTGTTTTTTTTTTAAAATAAATATATATAAGTATTTTATTTTATTTTAATTATTTATTTAATTAATAAAATTTAAAAATTTTTATTTTTTTTTATTTTATTTTTTATTAAATTATTTAATTAAATAAAAATATTATCCTTTCCTTTCCTTCATTTTTATCTATCTAAACAAAAATAATATCAACATTTTCCTTCCCTTCACTTCTCCTCCGCTTCCTTCCCCTCCCCTCCCCTTCCTTTCCTTTACTAATTTTTATCTAAACATAGGCTTAATGCTAGTTTTGTTTGCTTTTCTAAATCTATTTAGGTAATTAATTGTTTTTTTTTTTTTTGGATAAGCGGATATCATTAGGCGCAGGTAATTAATTATTGAAGCTAGCAGTTTCGAACCTCAATTTTTATATTTACAATTGTTTCCTTGATTTTTATGTAAATTATTAAGCGGAGCAGCGCTAAGGGCACTCGCCCCCTGCACTCTCCAACCAACACATGCCTTTTTAGTGGGCGACGTAAGTTGCTTTAATGCCGTGAAAAGCTAGCTCTCAAAAAAACACCCAAAACAACGTGGCCCAATAAGGTGGAAGTGCTGGTTGAAGAGTGCAATTGGCGAGTGCCCCTAGCATTGCTCATTTAAGCGATTTCACCCGTTGTCCTTCTCCATAATTACTGTGCTTTTTTCCGCTGTTTATCTCACACCTTTTTTCGCGTAGTATCTCACAACCTATTTCGCCTATAAGCATGTCCTTTCACTTTTATTCTCTCAAACTAAACCTCTTATGTCTATAGTCTCATTTTATTTGTTTCATTATTTTACTAACCGAGGGAGGAAGATCCCCGCTACTTCATTGTTTTTCATTTCTCTAGATTAGCCGTTGCCCATTTTCAAAAAAAAAAAAAAAAAAAATTTCTTTAGATTAGAAGCCGCGATGCGTTGGCTTACCCTTAAGTTTTTTAATTTCGTTTTATTTTATTTTTAAAGATAAATAATATGTAAGCATTTTATTTTAATTATTTAATTAATTAATAAAATTATAAAATTTTATTTTGTCTTATTATATTATAAAATTATTAAAATTTTTAATAAATTATTCATAAATCTTTTTAAAATACTGATAAAAATATTTAATTGACCCTTTCAAAAGAACTTAATATGGAGATTGAGCCCTTTCTAACTCCAATTGTATTCACTTCTTACAAAAGGCTCCAACTCAATTTCACTACGAAGATTTAACACATTCTTCTTGAGAGAATCTATAATCATTTTTTTTGGTAAAAGAGAGTCTATTATCATGTTTCTCCCTGTTGGCCTGTCTACGGATATGGTTCTCTGACTGTGCCACTTCAGGGACCTCTAGAGTCTAGATGCTCTTGATTGGTGTCATAGCCTTTGTCATAAGATCTGAGAGGACCCGATGGTACTTCCTCAGTGCCAAAAAAACCATTCATGACATAAACTTTCTTCCTGAAAGGACCTACCACATTGAAGATTTTTACAATTTCATCTAGGTTGCATGGATCTTCTGATGTCTCTCATGTATATTTGACTCCTTATTAAATCTTACAATATTATAAAAATTATTAAAATCTTTAATAATTTTTAAATAAGTATTTAATGAGTCTTTTAAAATTCTTTTTAAATGTCAAATAAATATCAATGAACCTTCTAAAAAAAATCCATGAAAGGATTGAAGCCTGGTTGAATTACCACACTTTTAAATTTCTTGATGAGCAAGATAGATATAAGCTTAATATATTATAAAAATTGTTAAAACATTCAATAAATCTCAAATAAATACTCAATGGACATTTAAAAATTCTTAAAAAGTTTGCAATAAATCTTTGATAAATATTGAATAAATGTCCAATGATTTTTTTAAAAATTTTCAATAAATATTAGATAAAAATCTAATGGACTTTTTAAAATATAAACTCAAATATGTTTTTATTAATAATCTTTATTTTTAATGTAATTCTATTCAATTTGATTTCAACTACTACAAAAATAACTAAGAATCGCTAGGATTTCAGAAGGAGATAGTATTCGAACCAACGCTACCTTTTCCTCATCATGGCTTTTTGCCTTTTGCTTTTCCTTTATGGGCACTCAAAACTCAAGTGACCTTTCTTAGCTAAACTAGACTAAGAATAGATTTCCTATTATAACATGACCAATCGAGCTAAAAATTCATGACTGTTAAACACCCCAGAACAATTCAAGATTCAATCTGTATATTAAGTCATTTAGTCATGTTTAAATTTACCAAGACACACCTCTTACGCTATCCCCATCCGTGGCCCTTACATGACAACTTCTACTCTCAATTTTTATTTAACACCTCCACATGTTTAATCTTCCAACACCCTAAATCACAAACAAACAGCAGCCCCTAATATCTGAAATCAATCTGTTACCTCCCATTCACGCCTTACTCCTCTTAGGCAGAGAAGCTGCTTGCTAAAAGATAGCGTGTTGTCACACAGAGCACAAGTCTGAGGTCTCAACACCAGGAGCGTAATGCAAAGTCATGGTGTCGACACCCTTGCATGCACCGGAGGTGTCCAGGACATTCTGGAGACGAGCCTTGTGCCAAGTTAAGGTTCCGACACCTGTATAAGGTGGATTTGTGGTGTCCACACCTAGACGCATTTTGGTGTCATCCAGAATTCTTCAAAAGCGTTAAGTGTGCAAGAATGGAGTGCAGGCACTGGCCAAGGTGGGCCGGATAGGCCAAGCTCAAGCCTAGAAAGTGCTAACACTTTGCACATAATTCTAGGGTGGATGATTCTAAAAAGTTAAACTCTTAACTTGGTTCCTCAATTATTGTATAGATGCTTGAGTTAGTCCCTAAATTAAAAAAATTCTTAAGTTAGTTCTTAAAGTTTCTAGAATTGGTTTCAAGTTGGTCCATCTGTTTAAAAAATAATTGACATGTCTCTTATTTAATAGTAAAAAGTTGTTACTTGACAATCATGTATACATTAGTAACAAGACATTTCGTTGTTTTTTAACGGAGGGACCAATTTAGAACCAAATTTGAAAATTTTAAAGACTAAATCAGATTTTTTTTTAGTTTAGGGATCAATTTAAAGGTTTGTACAATAGTTGAGGGACCAAATTGAGAGTTTAATCATTCTAAAATTATTTAGGTTAGGCTAGGGTGGGAGATTTGTAGAGTCTTCTAGAATTGTACATGTAAGGATGTTTTGGGAGTGTTTGAGTCTTCACCTTGAGCAAGTGGATGGGGTTAACCTCACCTATGAGTAGGAGGGGCCATTTGCTCCAAGGGACATGTATAGAGAGCATAGCTTAGCATTCTCACAAAACTTTTATAATTACCTTGCGGCTAATAAACTCTCTTATCCTTCCAAGCTCTAACCTTCATATTTTATGTGTTGCAAGCCTCATAGTCTAGTAGTTGGGCTACACCTAGTGCTACAAAAGGCTGACTTGGTTTGGTTGAAGGGTTGAGTCCAAGCAAGTGTTGCATAATGACTTGCTAAAGTCTCATTCCATGACAGTGTGTTACAATTTACTTAAGCTTTATTTTCAATACTAATGCCATATAAAATATTTTAATTAGACGATTAATAAAATTAAAGTCAACTTTTATTTTTTCATACAAATTAATAGTGAAAAAGTACAATAAATGCATCCTTAAGGGAATATGTTAAAAAATTCCTTTATTAAATAATAAATATCACTTATTTTACTAATTATGAATTAACAACTATAATTATTAATTGTTCTTAATAATTAAATCAAACTAGCTAGTGTTTTTGAAGACAAAGTAAAAAATTTAGGGTGGCCTCCCCGGATAATATGTTAAATAAGGGCTGATTTGGTACTATTCAAAGAGTACAAGAGTTTAAATGCATTTGATTTTAGTTTAGGGGTTGATTTGTCACCAAGGGAAGAGTATAGGGGCTGATTGACCTTTTTTGCCTTTTCATTTAGTTCTTTTCTGTCTCTATGATCTGTATATCAAAGAAGCTGTTTGACATTGTATTGCAGGAGTTTGAATATTTGACATCAGAGATGTCCTCATCTAATCATGCCAAGTCAGCCAAACTCTGGTTGGTTGCATTTTGTTAGTAGGTTGTTTTATGTATATTCTCTCAAAACCCCCATAAAAAAAAAATAAATAAATAAACCAAACAGAATTTGAAGATGGCCGATATTGGAATCGAGGTTGTTAAGGCTGCGGTTGGCAAACTGACAGAGAAATTGGTTGATCCATTGTCAAAGCTAATCTGGATCCAAATCACTCGTGTGCTCAAGTGGAAGTCCAATGTAAAGAATCTGAAGCGAAAGGCAGAGAAGCTTACCGAGGAAATAGAACGTGTGTTGCAATTTACTGATGCTGCTCACAGAAAAGGGGAAGAGGTCACACTGAATGTCAAGAATTGGCTGACCAAAGCAGAGAACTACAAGCGAGAGATTGAGGAGTTAGAGGGGGACGAAGACAAAGCAAAGAAGAAGTGTTTCGCTGGTTTGTGTCCTAATCCCAAAGCCCGTTACCAAATTAGCAAGAAAGTAGAGAAGTATTTGGAGGCTGTTGCTCCACTCCTGGAAGAAGCTTCCGGACCCAAGTTTCCAGATTCCTACCGTCCTCCTCCAGAAGAGATATCTACCGCAGCAGTTGAAGGTTTTGAGCAATTTGACTCAAGAATACCGACTTTGAACCGTGTTATGGAGGCCTTGAGAAGTGCTAGTGTTGACAAGATAGGCATCCACGGGCTGCCTGGTGTGGGCAAGACCATGTTAGCCAAAGAGGTTGCCAGACAAGCCAAGAAAGTGCAGTTATTTGATGTGGTAGTTATGGCTCCCGTTAAAAAGAATCCAGACCTTAAAAAAATTCAAGGAGATCTCGCAGATAAACTAGGTCTACAGCTTAATGGGGAGACTGAATTTGGGAGGGCCAATCAACTAAAGGCGTATTTGAAGAGAAAGAAGAAGATTCTTGTGATTTTAGATGATATCTGGGCGAGGCTAGATTTGGGTGAACTTGGAATTCCATTTGAAGACAAGAAGAATGAGGCAAGTTCAACTGAAGAAGAACAGTTGCAATGCAAAATTCTCCTTACATCTAGAGATCTCAATGCTTTAGAAGACATGGGTACTCATGAATACATCCAAGTTGGTACGTTACAAGATGCAGAAGCATGGACGCTTCTGAAGAAGATTGTCGGTGATGAAGTTGAAAACTCTGAGTTACTACTTACGGCGAGGGAGATAGTGGAAAAATGTGCAGGGCTGCCACTGGCTGTGGAAACAGTAGGAAAAGCTTTGAAAGGTAAGGATTCTCATGTATGGAGGGATGCTCTACTACAACTGAAAAGGCCCTCTGAAGAGAACTTCACGGGGATACCGGCAAATGTTTATTCAGCAATAGAATTGAGTTACAACCATTTAGAAGGAAAAGAGCTCCAGCAAACTTTCTTGCTTTGTTGCTTGTTGGGACACAATTCTTCTATTGGAGACTTGCTAACGTATGGAATCGGCTTAGACTTATTCCGTAATGTCAAGACAACAGAAGAAGCTCGAGACAGAGTACTAACATTGGTTAGTAAACTAAAGTCCTCTTCTTTGCTGCTTGATGGTCGTCACAATGGTTTGTTTGATATGCATGATATTGTACATGATGTTGCCATATTAATTGCCTTAATGAGCCAACATTTGTTATCAATAGCAGAAGACAATATACCGAAAGAGTGGTCAGATAGGGAGGCATTGGAAAATTTCAAATGGATCAGTCTACAAAATGCTAATGTTAGTGAGCTTCCTGATGAATTGGAATGTCCACAGCTTACCTTATTTTATTTGGAGAGCAAGGATCCTTCTATGAAAATTCCAGAAAACTTTTTTCGGGGAACACAAAAACTCAGAGTCTTGGATTTCACTAATATGTGTTTCTCATCCTTGCCTTCATCAATCTGCCTCCTAAAAAACCTTCATACATTACATGTAAATGGAGGTGTTTTAGAAGACATGGCTATTATTGGAAAGCTGACGAGTTTGGAAGTCCTCAACCTTGCACAATCAGATATTGTAGAGGTGCCAACGGAAATTGGGCAGCTAACCCAGCTAAAGCTCTTAGATTTGAGTGATTGTACTAAACTCAAAATGATTCAGCCACATGTTTTGGCGAGTTTGTCCAAACTAGAAGAGCTATATCTGAGGAATAGCTTCGATCAATGGGATGCTGGGGAAGGAGGAAATCAAAGAAATGCTAGCCTTGCTGAGTTGAAATATTTGCATAACCTGGCTGCTTTAGATGTACATGTATGTGATGTCCAGCAAATTCCAAAAGTTGACTTGTTATTTCAGAGATTGAAAAGATACAAGATCTTCATTGGAGATGTGTGGGGTCGCCGGGGCAGTTCCTTCAAAAGCTCAAATTTATTGAAGCTGGAGCTGAATACAAGCATTAGTTGTAGTCATTCAATTTTTGTCCTGTTGAAGAAAACAGAAGAACTTCATTTAGAGGTGTTGAAGGGTTTCAAGAATGTAGTTTATGAGTTAGAAGATGCAGGTTTTCAGGAACTGAAGTATCTTCATGTCAAAAATGCTCCAGAGGTTGAACATATTGTCAACTCATCAGTGGGGTCTGTATTTCCATTGTTGGAAGAACTTTTTCTGCAGAATTTGGATAATTTGGTGAAGATATGTCCTGGCCGGTTCAGAGGAAGATCTTTTAGCCGATTAAGCATTATAACTGTTAAATCTTGTGATCAGTTGAAAAATTTGTTCCCATTCTCTGTAGCTAGACAACTTCACAAAGTCAGAGAAATTAGAGTAATGGAGTGTAGCAATATGACAGAGATTGTTGATGAGGAGTTGCAAGGGGTCATGGAAATAGCAGAAGGAAGTGAAACTTTTGAGCTTGGCCAACTACGGTCCTTGCAATTGCAATATTTACCGAAGTTCATTAGACTATGCCATGGAAATGAGGAAACAAATGATCCAAGCTCGAACTCGGCACCACTTTTTGATGAAAAGGTATTTAAATTTTCTTGTATACAGTATATTGGTGTACATAAAAACTAAACAGAGTAATTAGAAGGAACTTAGTGGAGATTTACCATGCTCTAAGTAAAGAATT